TTTCTATGAAGCTATTAAATTCCAGTCGACAGGTGGCTTTGAAAATATTTTTTAAATTTACTTTTTTATAAAAATAAAAATTTTTGATGTTTCAAAATGATTTTTATTTATGTTCATGGGAATTGTAATTTAGGCATGAGCAAATAGGTGAGTTATCTTTCTTAAAAGAGTTACCTAAAATAAATGATACTGGAGATGACTGAATGTAAGATATTATTTATTAATAATTAATCTCATATTATGGAAGAACTTTTATGAACAGTTGGTCGGATACGGATTTAATTGTTAAATTAAAATTATTAATTTGATTAATAATTGGTTCTCGATATGAGATTCAATTGGTCTCACTAATGTTATTAGAAGAGATATACATACAATGCAAATCTATTTCTATCCTTAATTGTTATGGATAAAGTTTTTGAACAAATCTATTACTATCCTTAATTATTATGGATAAAGTTTTTGAACAAATCTAATTTTATCCTTAATTGTTATGGATAAAGTTTTTGAACAAATCTATTCTATCTTTAATAATTATGGATAGAGTTTTGAAATATTATGAATTGTTTAAAATTAAAATATCTAAGACTAATTTAATCCTATAAATAGAGTTCATATATAGTCTTATGAAGAGACAAAAATCTTATGAAGATAATATGAAGAAATAGAAATTTGAAAACCTCTCTCTCAATATTACTCCTCTTCGATGACGAGTGGATTTCAATTTGATATTTTTTCTCTTGAGGAAGTTTTTTCAGATTGATTTCAGATCAGATTATTGTAGAAAGTAGGAAAGCGTTTCAGGTATAATTTTAGATTTTAATTAATTTTGATTAATAGTCATGATATGCTTTTTCCGCTGCGTTGTATGTCACGAATCAAGCAAATGGTATCAGAGCGATTTACGAATTCGGTCTTTCCATTTTAATTAGAGAAAATTATCAAACAATTTTGATTAAGATAATTGGGGTTATTGTTCATTTTGGTCGAAGTTATTGTCTATCGACCGAGATTACTGTTCATCAGCGGTGTTATTGTTCATCGGCGGTGTTACTATTCATCTGGTTACTATTCATTGGGTTTAATTTGTTAAGCTAAAATTAATTAGATTAAATTAAAAGTTTGATTAGATCAAACTATGGTTTTGTTATACAAGGGTTATGATTATTTGATTAGATTAAATTAAAATTTTGATTAAGATCAAAATTAGGGTTTGGTTACTGTTCACTCAATAATTATTGTTCACGGTTTACTGTTAATCGATGGAAAAAAAATCTTTTGATTGAGATCAATTGAGGTTTTTCATATAATCATGATTATGATTCTTTGATTAGATCATATATTTTGGTTATTTAATTTGATTAAATGTGTTCTAATTGGGTTTTTTATTAAAAAAAAGGATATTGGGATGATTGATTGCGAGTTGGACTCGCCGGAGATCGACCGCC